ATGCTATATATATTAATACCTAGAATCTTTCTTTTTTTTATTTCCTTTATTTTATTATATGTTTACATATATAATAATATATATATGCATATGTCTATTTATTTACACGATCTATATATTTTTATCTCTCCCACCTCTCTTTTCTCTCTCCATATATATATATATATATATATATATATATATATATATATATATATATATATATATAGACAAGTATAAATGCCAGAAATACAGTATATATTTTTAATCATTACAAAAATGTTGAGATATGACCGGTACTTAGAAATATATAAATTCATACTTATCTATTTATGATTCATACTTAGATATTTATTTATATAATTTGAAACATTGAAATAGTTCAAGATACAACAGTTTTTAGGTTTAAAAGTCTTTTTTTGTTCTGTTCGTAGTAAAATAATTGTTTTTTTTTCTCCGAACGATAAATATTTACCATGCAGTTTATATTTTCTAACCAGGAAAAGCTCTGGTATATTGTATAAATAACAAATTGACTTTTGCGTCGTTCCCTTTGGCAATAATCAAAATCCCGCATCAATAAAAAAAATATTTTATCTTATGTAAGCAGGTAGCATTTAATTAATTTTTATTTTAAAAATATATTATAAAAAGTCAATACTTATCTATCTATCTATCTATCTATCTATCTATCTATCTATCTATCTATGTAGTGTGGCCTTCGATTAAATATTACAAATGTGACAGGTCTAACAAAATTTTAATTTACATTACATTTCATAATACAATATTGGTTATTTGAGATTCAATCAAGGAATCACTTGACAATAGATCTGATCAAATCAATATTTTTGTTGAACTTGCGGATAATTTTTTTTTTATTTGGAAAAATTGTGTTAAATTTCATTTATTAGAATTAAAATGAAATTTAAGGCGCTAATTTGCATAGTTTATAAATAAGTTAAAACTTGCAACAGCGACAATAATAATAATAATAATAATAATAATAATAATAATAATAATAGAACCTGCGTGAAATTGTCTACTAAAGGAAAAAAGTTTTATTTATCGAAGAAAGAAATACAAATATTTTTTCGACCGAAAATGAATTTTTCTAATATTTTTTTCGACTGTTTAAAAAAATCAGTCAAAGTGAAGATATTAATTTATGATTTTGAAAGCATTTTCAAATTATAAAAAAAAAACATCGCATCGTTTTAAATCGTAATGAAGTAGACATTGTATGGTCGCACGTGAATCTGGCCCTTTTTCTATCAGGCAAAATAAACGCTTATTTGAGATCGTCATCGTTATTAATTAGTTGCTGAAATTTTTACTTGAATTAATTTGATTAATTATTTTTAGGTAGTGCTTATGTCCCTCTATTGCAAGGCACGTAATAAAAAAATACGTTTTTATCCGTCAACTAATGAAAAGATATTGCTAAAAATAAATAAATGAAACGAAAAATTACATGATAAATATAAACATCGATCGTTCATATTTTTAATTTTAACCTTAATAGGAAAATTAAATTTATTAAAAAGAATTTAATTAATATTATTTTATCAATTAGGTTATTAAAATCGATGTCATATTTTTTAAAACAGGTGCGTTTGATCTGGAGCCAAATTTCTGCATGAAATACAAACAGTCCGTACTACAATACGATTAATTAAAAAAAAATGTAAATGCCTTAAAGAACCTAACTTCTGGGTAAGGTAACACAAGTAGTTTACACAAGGGCTATCTATACACATTTAGTGCAATTTTCGCAAAACAGTCGTCGGTGATTTGATTTGTAAATAAAAACAACATTAAAAAAATATTCTAATACGTACATACATAGACACGCATACACACACACATATATATATATATATATATATATATATATATATATATATATATATATAAAAGATACAATTAATAATCTAACAAAAAGTGTAAAAGATCACAAATGAACAATTTAAATAAAAACTAACAATTAAATTAAAAATGAATTGAATTCATGTATATTCTTGTATTGCGACATAACATTTAACAGACTGATGTTTGTATACATTTACAAAAGAACAAATAAATAAAAAATGAATTAAAAAATCTTACCTGGAAAAACGACACCTGGTAGACCTGCCAGTGCACATGTTCTATAGTAGTCCTGCTGTTTAAGAGTCTGCATACTGATCGCTAGAATGTTTCGCGTAAAAAGAGAGACAACTATTTTGTGCGTGTTCAGTATGCTTGTCAAGTGTCGATGCAACAACAAATCGTACTAGTACCAACTAAACACTAGTAACACTTTTGTTGTCGTTGCAAGCGCGCGAGCTGTGTATTAGCTGCGTTATAATTGGTAACTGACGATATGTATTGATGCAGATGGTTGGTTAGTTTGCGATAGTATCAGCTGTGGTGGTTGGTTGGAATTGTGTTTCTCGAATCTGATCGACGGAGTCGATTTGTGATCTGTATTTGTCAATAGAGATAATAAGACCATTGATGACTTTGTAAACACATGCGTATACACAGGCATAGGTATGTATACATAAATGTATTTTAAATATGTATTTATGTGTGTGTGTGTGTATATATATATAGATAGATGTATATATATATATATATATATAATTATATATAATTATTTATATATAATTATATATATATATACATTAAGTGTAAATAGACAGATGTTTTTTATCGTTTGGTGTTTTTTGTGTTTTTTACAATATCAATTCGTTGCACTTATAATTTAAAACTCCTTATGGCTCGGCATTCGCACTGCGCTATGGTTAGCATGTAAATTAAAGTGAAGTACTTATAGATAATATAGGTATATCCTTGCTTATATTTGAATATGTGCAATTGAATAACGTTTTTTTAATGAATGTGTATTGTAGCGACATAGATGTGTTGTTTATCGTGTGTGTTGCTTACTGATTATGAAAATGTGTTGTTGTTGCTATGAATAAATTAGTCGTTATTCTTTTTTAATTTTTTCCTTTTCCTATTTTCTCTTTCATGCTTTAAAATTCTTTCTCTCTCTTTTTTTTTTAAATCTTTCTTCCTCCTTTTTTTCCTTTATCTCTTTCACCCCCTTTTTTTTTTCCTTTCTTCTTTCTTTCTTTGAACTAATTATCGCTTGTCAATGTCTGTCTTCCGCCGTGTCTTCCGCTTTGATTTCCCTACAGCGGAACTATTTTTCTCCACAAGCCGGAGATAAGCAAAACGCTTGGTGAAAATTTCGCCACGCAGGAAACTTTCAAGTAGCACGTTTTAAAACTGGTTCCGTATCTGTTTGCCACAAGGGGAGGTATGCAATTGATTTACGGCTGGCGATATTTATACTCAAGTCATGTGCAATTTAGACGAGTTGCTCTCGTCCAATCAGGGCCGGAATACACCGCTCACGAAATATTATTGGGTAGGGGCTTCGCCGGCGCAGAGATAATACTACCACCACCACCACCATTACCGCTACCAACATCACCACTGCTGTCATCGCCGTCATCATTGTTCGTCATCAATATTATCCTTATCGCTATAGCCAATGTTGTCGTTGTCTTCCTCTTCACGTTAAGAGTTATAGAAATTGTTAATGATGATGATGATGACGATCGTGCCGTTTTGTAGTTAAAAGTCATTATTATTATTTCTACTGCTGCGTTGACGTTGTTTTAGTGATGACGGTGGTGGTGTGTGATGGTGGTGTGTGATGGTGGTGGTGGTATTGGCGTATTTTGAATTTTCCCCAACCACACACACTTCTAAATGTCATTCTTCTTTCACTCGATTTTTAATTCTCCTCCCTTCTTTTCCGTTTCTTTTTACTTTTTATTCTTATTAGTTCTAATCACCTGTTCTTTCTTCTTCTTCTTCTTCTTCTTCTTCTTCTTCTTCTTCTTCTTCTTCTTCTTCTTCTTCTACTTATTATTATTATTATTATTATTATTATTAGTAGTAGTAGTAGTAGTAGTAGTAGTAGTAGTAGGAGGAGGAGTACTTCCACGTAATTTTTTATTTTCTATCTTTTATTCGCATTTTCCCTCCTCTTGTTTCCTTTCAGTTTTTATTCTTTCATTCTGGTTTTGTATTTTCTCTTCATTTTTTATTCATCGTTTCCTCCACCCAATCTTTTTCTCCCTTCCTTCCTTCTTTCCTTCCTTCCTTCCTTCCTTCCTTCCTTCCTTCCTTCCTTCCTTCCTTCCTTCCTTTTTCCTTCCTTCCTTCTTCATTTTCATTGGTCTTGTCCTCTATCGCTTCCTTCCATCTTTTTTCTCGTCTTTTCCCTTCCAATAATAGTCCCTTCTTCTTTATTCCCTTTTTATATTTCTTTCTTTACCTTGTCTTTTTCTACCTTTCTATTTCATGTATTTTATTCTGTCTTTTTCTTCCACATTTCTCTTCCTTCCTTCATTTTTCGCTCGTCTTTTCATCTTTCTTACTCGTTCGTATTTTCCCTTCCTTCCGTTCTTTCTTCCTTTCTGTAATTTTATTCTTATTCTTCCTATCATCTTTCCTTTCTTTTTTTTTCCTTCTTGGTTTTTGTTCGCTTTTCTTCTTTCTCATCCTACAGTATTTCCTACCTTTCTCCTTCCTTCCTCACTTCCTTCCTTCCCTGTTCTCTTTATTGTGCTTGCTTTCCTTGTTGCCTTTGTAATTCTTTCACTTCCGTTTTGTTTTTTACTTTGCACATTTTAATATTATACCAAATTTTTCCTTCCTTTTTTCTTTTTTGGCCATTTTGTCTTACCCCCTCCCTTCTTCTTTTTTTCATTCTCCGTTATTTTTTGTCAATTTTTAATTCTTTATTTCTTTCTATTTCTTCTCTTTTTCTCTTCCCCATTCTTTCTGCAGCTTTTTTTTTTTTTAAATTTCTGTTTCATTTATTTATTTTTCACCCTCTTTCCATCACGTATTTTTCCTTCCGTCTTCCTTCCGAAACGCTTTGCTTATCTTTTCCTTTCGTCGCCCTCAACCTCCATTTGGATTCCCACCCCTCTTGCAACCTTTCTTTCATTTAATTACACACGCATGCGCGTAATCACACACCCAAACATCATCAACACACACACACACACGCACACAATCACACATGCAAGTCGAGGTTTACTCCAGAGACAACCACTCTCACACTGGCACGTGTGCAGATTCAATCACGCATACTACACCCATTCGCGCATACATGTCACTATACACGTTTTCATTATTCCTATGCCCTGTTGATAGATACTAGTTTTTCTCTCTAACCACAGCATCACATTTCATTCGGATGTCTGATTCACACGCACACAAATGCACACAGATTTTAAATCTCTCTAATTCTTTCTTTGGCGACACTCCATATATACAACACACACTCACACACACAGACACACTCTCTGTAATCTCTAGCTGTCATTCTTTCTTAACTTTCTTTGAAAGTTTTAATTTTATTACAATAAAAATCATGTCTTTTATATTCATTCCCTATACTCCTCCTCTATTCGCTGGCTTGAAACGTTTGTTGAAATTTCTTTTAATATTTCCACCGAACCCATACGAAGCACACCCACACATACTAGGGGTTCAGACAGAAAAGTTCTCAGCCCAACCATGAAGGGACTATACATGATAAGTTTCAATGTTTAATCATTTTATCATATTTTAAGAAGTGGTTCTAGCCAAGTTCAAGTGTACATACATGCATACATACATATGGGCCTATATATATATATATATATATATATATATATATATATATATATATATATATATGTTTGTGTGCTCGCGTGCGTGTGAATAAGTGTATATATATAAATATATATATATATATATATATCATAATTATTATTTTAAAATATGTATTCATCGCAACACAGAAATTACCATGTTTCTGCAACAAAAAGCTGAATCTTAAATTAAATTTAATTTTCAGTTCCATTTTGAAATTTTCAAATTTAAGTTTAATTTAAGATTTAGTTTTTTTATGTCGCAATGAATACATATTTTTTTAAATAATAATTATAATATTCAGTTCTTTATATATATATATATATATATATATATATATATATATATATATATATATATGTTAAAGAAAACCGAAAACGTTTTTTGTTGTAATGTGGATTTTTGAAAAAAAATATGCTGTACTTTCCATAATAAATGTAAAATAAAGCATAATATTTTTTTTTTAAAAATGTCCACATTACAACCAAAAACGTTTCCAGTTTCGCTCTTCTTTTTAATATACACACTTTTTGAACTACTATAATCTCTTCCTTTTCAATATATATATATATATATATATATATATATATATATATATATATATATATATATATATATTCTAAAAAGAGCATACCAGAATTCATCCTCTAGACTACTCTTCCTCAAAGAACTTATTAATTTTAAACAAACACTAATCAATAATGGTTTCCTTAACCACCTTAAATACTACCAAATTAAACTATTTCTCCCCAAAGTAAGTAATAACGACATTGAACACACAGGCAAAAATTACATAAACATTTATTACAAAAACAAATGCACATTAAGTACAAATCTTCACTAAGACATATTATAAAGAAATACACTACCCCAATTGACCCGAATAAAAAAAATCAAATTAATTATTCATTGTAAAAAATTTAAGACAGCTAACCTTATCATCAAAAATAACAACACACCAACTAAGTCAAAATTACAAAAAACGAACATTATCTATGAGTTCAAATGCCCCTTTAAGGAACTGTGTTCCTGATCAAACCGGACTCATAAATAATTACATCGGTTACACAACTACACACTTATCCAGACGGCTTACGTTACATCTATCTGATCACAGTTCCATTAGAACCCATTTAAACACACACACAAACTTACCAGACTCCATTAGAAATATACTAGTAGAAAACACAAATAAATTAAGTGCATCCACCTGTAAAAAAAGATTAAAAATAATGGAAGTTATAATAATAATAATAATAATAACAATAATAATAAACACCTCTTAACAATATTAACTACGAACAAAGCCACAATGTGCTAACCGTATTCGGAAATTAAAAACATCCCTACAACACACTAAAACATACACATAATGCACACACTCAATTAAGCTGAAAAATGGAATCATCCTTGATATTGGCTAAAGGTATAGCCGAAAGCGCTCGGAAATATAAAACATTTGGACAGTTTTTACACTCTCATATATATATATATATATATATATATATATATATATATATATATATATATATATATATATAATGCATGTTTCATTAAAAACAACAGAAAAGGTACTACAGTTAAGCTTTTATTCCGTGCTAGGAAAAAAAAACCCTCTATAACACACTAAAAGCATAAACAATAAACATAACGCACACACTCAATTAAACTGAAAAATAAAATCATCCTTGATAATGGCTAAAAGTATAGCCAAAAGCTCTTGTGTGAACACAAGAAAAATTAATTCAAAAGCTTAACCGTATTACCTTGTCTGTCGTTTTTAATGAAACATGCATAAATAAAGGATTGCTGCCTACACACACACACACACACACACACACACACACACACACACACACACACATATATATATATATATATATATATATAGTAAGGTAATGAAGGGTTTGGTAATCCGTGTGCATAAATACTAAGAGGGTGTGAACCAGAGAGCTCAATGTAAAACCAGAGCAAATATTAATTAAATAATTAAGAAATAAACAACCTTAAGTTTCCTTGACTATAATTTATTTCCCCAGAAAATATATTTTTCCTGGTTCATCAGGTCACATCTCTAGTTGCAAAATAATTAGGTTTCTTTTATTTTTAATACAATATTTGAGGGATAATTTTAGAAAGATATAAGGTGACAGAAGTGGTTGGAGGAAAATGGAAAGATACATCTCGGAAATGTAAATAGGAATAAAGTTGTTTTTTTTTTAAACCCTCCTTAATAATTCACTTAGGTTCAAAACAACCTTATCGCCATTTACATTTACAAAATGGACGTTTCCGTTCTCCTCCAACCACCTCTGTCCCCTTAAATTATCCTAAAACTATCCCTAAAAATTATGATCAACTTTACGAATATGTTTGCGACCATAAAACTGGTAGTACAAATCGTTCACGAAAATTCAATAATATTTAGAAATATATATATATATATATATATATATATATATATATATATATATATATATATATATATATATATGTAATAAAAAAGGCTTAAACACTAATGTTCCATGGTCATAATTTATTCCATTGAATCGTAAATACGATCCAATTCATCAGACCAACAAATTCAAAAAAAGAAAACAGAAAAAAACAACTCCGGAAATAAAAAATAAATTTAGATAGTGTGTAAAGTATGAGGGTGTGGGACGAATGTTAGAGCTATAGAGAGGGGTAACAGACGAGAGAAGGTGGGGATTAAAATTTAACAGAAATAAGTTTTAGAGAGGGAGTCAAAGACGGTTTTATATATATATATATATATATATATATATATATATATATATATATATATATATATATATATATATATATATATATATATATATAAACACGAAACTTATAATAATTGTGTGTTGCTTATGAACGTGCATTAGTGTTCAAGCGTTCATCAGTGTTCAAGCCCAGATGAAAGCCAGAATTTAGAATGCTGATTTTCCTTGCCTATGAATCATCTTAGGATCACCATTGTCTGTCAATACTTTCCACTCATTTAGCACACTAGTGGATTTAACTAAACGTAATTATTATCTATCTATCTATCTATCTATCTATCGTCTTCCCATTCACTCTTCATCACATTTGAATTACGCCTTTCTGTCTAATACTCTACCTTTTTTCCATTTTTTTTATTTTCCACCACAATTACACTTCTCCCTCTTTTCCCTTACATTCTCTCTTTCATTCACACACGCATACATGCACCCTTCTTATCAAATCCTTCTACCTGATTCTCTGTTTTTTTTTTCAAATATTTGTTTCGCTTCACTTCACTTGATCAAGTATGCTATATGTAAAGTGACAATCAAGATATTATAAATTTTTATGTTTTTATTTAGCTGATATGTGAGCGTCCAGTAAAGATTTTGGAAATTATAATTAATGATCATTATAATTTATAATTAATTATTATTAATTTCCAAAAGATTTACTATACTCCCAAATGTCAACTAAATAAGAAGCATGAAACAAAAATATAGAAAAAATAACTTAGTCATCTCTTTTGAAAAGCTGCATGCGTGGATATTGACTCACTCAATATCTCTCTCTCTCTCTCTCTATATATATATATATATATATATATATATATATATATGTGTGGGGGTATGTGTGTGTGTCTGATGCATTATCTACAACGGATAACGAGATTCAAATTAATCTATCTATCTCCCCCACTCTCTCTCTCTTTTGTATATATATATATATATATATATATATATGTGTGTATATATATATATATATATATATATATATATATATATATATATATATATATATATATATATATATATATATATATATATATATATATATATATATACACTACAGTTGAAACGTTTCAGGACATTTTTGGTAAATTTTAAATTGGCTGCAAAAATAGTTGGTTTGTACTTTAAATAGGTCAAAATTATTATACATGCTTAAAAAATATTTCGACGTAATTTTTATTATAAATTTTATTATGACAAAAAGAAAAAAATAATTTCATGATTAAATTTTGGACTTATTAAAATAACCTCCTTTAGCCTTGATTTCTGCAGCACAAATGTTTAGCATTCATTGCAAAAGTTTCTCAAAGTATAAGTTTGCTAATTGATTCCATTCTTTTTGCAATGATTCTAAGAGTGAATTTTCATTTTTTTTTATTCTTCTGTCAAGTACATCACATGCTAATTCTGGGGGTGGCTTCAAACTTTTGAACTCTAATGCATATCATTAATGATAAATTGTGTACACACACATATATATATATATATATATATATATATATATATATATATATATATATATATATATA